CCCAGCGCGGACCGAGGGCAGTGTAAAGAAGCATTGGTACAAGGACATGCATTACGCTGAGTTTGCCGAAGATGAGGTACGTATCATCTGGCGTTCCCCCGCCCCCCCCCCCCCCCCAACCCAACCCAACCCTCATCCCCCAACACCATCTCACCAACTAACTCGTGCCTTAGAAAGCGGCGTTGTTTTCGGCCATCAAGGACTACGAAAATAACAAGTGGAAGACCATCGGACAGAAGGTCGGCAAGCCGGCCAAGGCCTGCGAACAATTCGCGAAGGAGCATTTCCCTGGTAAGCAAAAGAGTTAAGAATCGTGTCACAATTCCGGCAATGGAAGCTAACCAGTTTATCTAGATCTGTTCCCCGCACAGAAAGGCAGATAACGCCCCTGCTCCTGTCACTTCGTCTTGCGAGGTTTCCCAAATGGCGTACGATACCTTTGCTGCGAGCGCACTTCGAGTTTCGAGTACATTAGTTCGGACCTCTTCCGGAGGTGGTCGTCCCTCTTTGTCGGCATCAAGCACGGCTGTTTATTCGCTGCTGCGCCTCCACGTAGCTTCTCTTGACAAAGGCCTCTCATGGAAGCTAACGTTGGGTTGTGTACTTTCTCATCTCATGGACTTTAATGTCGGGTGGTTTCGGTTGAGGCTATCTGCTCGGCCATGTTTCCCATCCCCTCTGGATTTGGTTTCTGTTCGCGGGTTTCGCACTCGGGGACAGTCCCCGGGAGTTCGATTTCCAGCGAGTTCCCTGACTCAAGGGAAGGACGAATCAGTTGGCGAGAAGGCGGCGTTTTTTTTTCCTTCTGACGACTGGGTTCACGGTCTATTCGGATGTCGGCTACTCCCTTGGTCAAGCCGGCTGGGTTTGGTAGGCTGGCCATAGCTGGGTTGCGATGAAAGGGCTACGCTTTGTCGGTGGTAGTCGTTGTTGTATGGTTTCATCAGAGGTTGTTAATGAAACCCTCCCGTCGCAAGACAAGAATTGAAAATACTTCTACATTATCTTAGGAAGCGTGTTTCTGTTTGGTTGTGAGTAGTCAATTCAGGCGGGCTGCAATCGATGCTACCCTGCGTCCTTCTCCCCAACACCATAGCCCGTTTCTAGTAGTATTTGCCGTCTTGTCCGCATTGGCCCAGTGTATCGTTCTGTCTAACAACCTAGATTTTGCATAACTAGATACTTAACTGCCATGTAAGCCATATTTTGTCCGAGACATCCCGAAGTAGGGAGAATCTCTAATATAGCGCAGAGGCCGAACGCATCCGGGCTCCGGGGAGGTAGAGTTGCCGGTGACGTCCATGTTCAATTGTCGTTCACGATCACCAACCGAATATGCCATTCCACAGAAAGATAGTTAACGGTTTCGTGCCTGTCAAGTTCCTATGGCAAGAATACGAGAGGGGTCATGCAAAATGATACCGTCTCGAGCCAATGCAAGGAGGGCATCTCGAAGCGGCCCACTTAGGGATGGAGGTCGCTGTGTTCTGGAACAGCAAAAACCCCCGCATGTTCCTGTGGGCCCCCAAAAAGGAAAAGCGTGCCGTTGGGCAATCTGGGGAAAACAACCTCTGAAAACCGAAAGACGGCGCTTCGTTTTCCGTGGAAAGAGCGCAAACTTCGTGAGTGCCGAACAAAACCGCATTAACTGGTACATTGTCGCACCGAGGACTTATGCGGTGCAATCTTTGGTGGCAGATGGCTTACGGAAAGCCGCACCACAGGCAACCATCAATGCTTCTGGAGGATTTGAGGCGCAACGAGCCTTTCTGCGTTGATGGTCCTGTGGCGTCGAGTCGCGGATCGCAACACGAGAAAAGGAGGTTGTCATCCCCACTCTTCTGCGTCTCGGCATGGGAGCCGTTTTCCTGATTTTAGCCAAGAACCACGGTCCTTGAACGGCCCAAATGCCCCGGGAGCCAGTGCTGGTGGTGTGTGGTTTCCGTTTTGGGATATTGGCTGCTCCCCACCCCCGGCCTGCGCCCAGCAAGGAGAGAGCTCCATCTGCTAAAATTGACCCCCCTCACAATCGCGCCGCTTCCTCCGTGCTCTCTTCTCCTTTCCTTCAAACCCGACCATTCGACATCAGGGCCTTGTCAAGAGCCCACTCTCCCCGAGAGCAACCTTCGTTTTACCGTGCCGGCCGTTTATCAGGATCCTTCGCCTCGTTCAGAGGGATCTGATAAGGTCGCTTGTCCATTCGTTTTAAAAAATAATCGGGAGAGAAACGCGCAGCTGCAGGGACCACCGCATAACGTGAGCTCTGCCCACCAGTAACACGACCCCATCGTTTCAACCTCTCGAACCCATTCGACACCTCCCGGCCGATTCAGTGTACGCGATACGGCAGCCAAGTAACGGGATTTTGGTTATTAATAAACCCGGCTTCTTTTACCGACCCGGCCTTTTTGCATTCCAACACACATCAACCACGAAACCGCAACCGGAAAGAGTGGATCAAACCGGTCTTAGCATTCGTTGAGCCTCTAGGAGGAAAGTTCGGAGTGCGCAACTTCAACTTGACTTGCACGTCTATTCGATCCCAAGTCACCATGGTTCGCGCTCTTCTCTCGTTGGGCGCTGCCCTCCTTGGCGCGACCGCCGTGTTGGCCGTCGACCCCCCGTCGTGCTCCCTCGACAAAAAGTGCCCCAAGGAAGCACCCTGCTGTTCTCGTGAGTAACCTCGAGCTGCAAGAGCACTGTTTCACCTACCAAAACCACATCACTGACACCGGCAACCTGCAGAATACAACCAATGCGGCGTTGGCGCCTTCTGCCTCGGCGGTTGCGACCCACGCATGTCGTTCTCGCTCGACTCGTGTGTGCCCGCCCCGGTGTGTGAGGATAAGGTCTACAAGATGGATTCCCTCGACAGGTACAAGGACATCAGCGAGTACCTCGGCGACTCGAGCAAGACGGACTGGGTCGGGCAGGGCGAGCCGCTCCTGTACAACGGTAACGTCCTGCTGACCATGCCGCCCAAGTCGGTCGGCACCGTCCTGGCCACAACCACCTACATGTGGTACGGCAAGGTCACGGCACGAATGAAGACGTCCCGCGGTGCCGGCGTCGTGACGGCCTTTATTCTATTCAGCGACGTCAAGGACGAGATCGACTACGAGTGGGTGGGCGTGGATCTGCACACCTCCCAAACCAACTACTACTTCCAGGGCATTCCCGACTGTGAGCTCTCCTGCCCGTATTCTGCTTGCATCTTGTTCTAACATCACGTAGACGTCAACGGCGGCAACATCACTTTGGACGGCAACTCATACGACGAATTTCACGACTACGAAATTGAGTGGACTCCCGACGAAATCAAGTGGATCGTGGATGGCAAGCTTGGACGCACTAAGAAGAGGTCCGAGACATGGAACGCCACCTCGAACCAGTGGGCGTTCCCGCAGACCCCGTCGCGTGTGCAGATCTCCATCTGGCCCGGTGGTCTGGAATCCAACGCCAAGGGCACCATCGACTGGGCTGGCGGACCCATCGACTGGAACAGCGATGAGATCAAGGACTTTGGCTACTACTTTGCCACCTTCGCCGAGATCTCGGTTGAGTGCTACAAGACGGACACGGCACCGGGCACCAGCAAGGGCAAGTCGTACTACTACAACAACATCGCCGCCACCAACAACACGGTCGTCGACAGCGACAAGCCCCACATCCTCAAGAGCTTCCTCGGCACGGGCACCAACATGAACAAGGGCGACGGCACCTCGTCCAGCGACCCCTCCGAGTCCTCCGCCGCCCACTCCGTCCCCGGCGGCGGCGTCAACCCGCCCGGCCAGGTCCCCGGCGCCAACAACCCGGTCGGCGGAGGCAGCGGAACCGGCAACAACGGCGGCGGCTCCGGCAGCAACGACGCGCCCGCGTGCGAGGCCACCGGCTTCACCCAGCACTGCGGGTCGCAGGGCTCGAGCGACGGCGGCAACAACTCGAATAACGGCGTCCGGGTGGTGGACCGCACGCTTGGTGGGAGTGCTTTTGCGGTGGTGATTGGGTTTGCGGCGCTGCTTTTGCTGTGAGGCGGTGAGTGCGTGAGTGCGTGAGTGCGTGAGTTTTGGATGCGGGATGTGGGGTGAGGGTGCATATGTGCGTGCATGTTTAAAACCGATCTATATGCTGCTATCTGCGTTGAGTTGATCTAGCTGGGTGGATCTGATCTGACGTGCGTTCGTTCGGTCTGATCTATTTGGGGGTAATGGCCTAATGTCGATCGGAGGGTTGGTCGGTCGGTCGAAGCGGTATGGTATGCCTTTCTTGAGCGGGAGCTGGCGCAACACCTACCTAATGTCTGTTTTCTTTTTTGGAGCTTCTTGTATTCACTTTGATACCATATCATACCACACGCACACACACACACTAGAGTCGCTGGTTTCTTTTCGATTGTTTTGCACTGTGCCTGTGTATGTACGTATGTAGGTACCTTGCTGCGCGCTTGTTTGCCAATGCTCTGTCTTGCCTGTCTGTCTTGCTTGGGTAGCGGGGTATCGTTGTGGAAGCTGGGTAAGGGGTGGGGGCGACAGTAGCGAATGGTCTCAGTCTTCGGTTTGCTTCTCGTTGCTGTTAATAGATCTTGTGTATGATATGTATACAATGTGTTTATGGGACTGATTATGTGATATGGTCTAGTGGTGGTAGGTACGTAGCTGACGGCTGTTGTTGGTACATAATTACATACAATACAGTATCTGTGACTGGTGGAGTTGACTGTCTGTTTTTTGAGGAAAGCTGGAGGTGGAAGCTGGGTTGGGTTGGCTGGAGCTTTAAGGAGGCTGCGGTGTAGAGCCTGAGATTGGACTCGTTGTTGCGCAGGGAAGGATGCGTGAGAGGGAAGGTGACTGGCGTTGTGTAAGTGTGTTGTGTGTATGTATTGCGAAGCTAAGGGCAAGGACAGCAACTCTTCGAGTTGGAATGAATGGACAGCAAATCTTGGGATGAACAAAAGATGGGAGGGTCAGATATCTTGGGATGGATGAAGAATGTTTAATGCCTATCCGGCTTTCGTTGCGTCAAATAACTATGTGTATATCTATGAGCGTCACGGTGGCTTGAGCAACGTGCATCTCGTTTTGAGACGTTTTCCGCCAAGAGTCACAGTCAGTGACAAGCAGCAGCCCGAACATCCGTGAACAGGTTTCGTCGGTAACCTGGGTGTCTTGATGAACTGTGTGGCGGCTTCTCGTCAGCGTTGGATGGTCGGGATAATGCCTCGGCCCCACTACCCATGCATGGCAAGCAGCTTGATCAAAGTCCACTGTAAGTTGAAGGCCATGATTATCTTTTGCATGTATCTTCTGGGGACGCGGACCTCGAATATATCTGCAGATTTTACGCTGAACCCTTTGCGATCTGGAGCTCGAGGAGATGTTCGGTCTGGAATTCCACACCCTTGGCCATGGTATCTTTCCATGGGACGTGATGGTCCTATGCCATTTCGCCAAGCTTGATCATATCACGAGGCGAGGCGTGTACCACGCAAGCGAAGGCGATGTTGTCCGATCCTCGGCCCTGCACCTGCTTCACCCCGTGAACCAGGCATTATCGCTATTGACAAGCAACGGCGAGGTCTACAGGTCTAAGTTCAGGGCCGCTATCAACCTCGGAGACCGACATCGTCACTGCGGGATTGAGATAATCCCATTCAACGAGTCTTGGGCCTGCCTCCTCGGGATTCTCGTTCGAGCGTATCACAATACGCCTTAAGGACGATCCTAATGGGCCGGCCTTAGCATTGTGGTTGAGTAATGGAGACAATGAGATAGATGCAGCAAGGTAGTTATGATAGACCAACTTTGTTTCTCTTTCTATTTTCTTATAGTACTATATTTCTAGGTTATATTCTCCTCTCTTTTTCTTTCTTTTCCCTTTTCTTCTTTTCCTCATCTTATCAATCACTAACGTTATTATCTATTCAATATACTTTCCTCCCTTTTTTTTCTTATCATTTGAGCTCTTCCACTTATATTGGCCATTCTCTTGTTTTCTTCTACCGCGGAACGCCCTGCCTTCCCCCACCTAACCCCCACTTCATCCCAAACCCAAACACTGAATGAAAAGTCAATGAATGGAAAGGCAGTTTCCAACCCCCCACCTTCCCTGAACACTCACACGAATCGCATTGCATCGCACCACATCGCATTCTGTCGTCAAGATGCCTTCATCAAACTCTTCACCAAACTCCTCATGGACGCCCTCACCGACGCCGTCTCCGAATCATGCACCGGTTTCGTCTGCCGTACCCATCGGGATGACGCCACGACCATTTGCCCCGCCTTCCAATCCCTTTCCACACTTCTGGAGTCCACCACCGGATCCCGAGAAGCCAACGTGTCCGTATCGGGCGGGCTTTGCCGTGGAAATCAAGCCTCACACCCCTCCTCCACCATTTGGCACTCCCCGTTATGGTCTGGGACTATGGAAAAGCCGAAGTGACGTGAACCTAAAGTCAGTCACGCAGACTGAGCTTGTTTTGGCATGCCCTCCCCTTGAACGCCAAAACACTCTGTCCTCGTCCCCCCCAGCCACGGCCACCCTCACCATTCTTAAGACCATCGCCGTGAGAGACGACCGGGGCGCCCAGCTGGTCGTTTGCTCTGTCGATCCGAGCCCCTGCCCGCAGGAACCTGACGGGTTTGTCGCAAAGATATTCGATCCGCTCTACTACTCCTTCGAGTGCTCGGTTGCGGCACACGAGGCTGAAGATGTCTCCTTTAATGCTGACGTTCACTATACCCACGAGGCCGCCGCGCTCGACCATCTCGAGCGAATGCGCAAGAACGGTCGTCAGGGATTGTCTGCCCCAAAATATTTTGGTGCTTGGACCTTTACCTTACCCATCACCCACGCGGGAAAGAAGGTACAGCGGTCTGTCCGCTTAGTGCTGATGGAGAACATCAAGGGCCCCAGTATTCGGGACGTTTGCCGTGATGCGGCTCTACTCTCGTGCTATAGCGAACTAGATCGTCTCGATATTTTCGCTGCAGTGTTGGATAGCGCCGTGAGACAGTGGCACGCAGGTGTCCACCAGCGGGATCTAGCCTCGCGCAACGTCGTTCTACGGCCTAGGCTAACCTCTTCGCCATCGGGGCCCAACAGCCAGCCTCTGCCTCAGCCTGTTATTGTCGACTACAATATAGCTGTGGTATTCGAGCTCTCTCGCGATGGCAAGCATCCGTACCAGCTCATGAAGCTTCCTCCAAATCCCATACAACTCTACTGGGGCGTCTTTTTCGGCAATTTCGATGGCTGGCTACCGCACGAGTGGGAAGACTGTCATAAGATTTGCCAGCAATGGATGAGGGAGCGGTTTGGGGGGGAGGCCGCCTCACAGTATGCACCTCTCACCAGGGAGCCGGAATTTTCCAAATATTAGAGTAGAGTCACCTAAACAGAGATGAGACGAATTGCAGAAAACTTGCCACATGCTTCCATTTACTCATCCATTGGTAAAAATGCGCTGCTCCCCACCTCAAAATGATGAGAGGTAAGGTGTGAACCGGGCTTCTCAGATAACCCAGACCCTCGACCTCAAGCCACCCGGCCCGGTCGGCAGGAAAACCGCAACCATGGCAAAACAGAACTGCCGGCACTCGGACGGGACACGGCCATGGCGAGCAGTGTATCCATATGAAACGGCCACCCCGGCCACAAACCCAAGAATTTCCAAATGCTAGGCGCTGCCCAGGGTAAACTCCCAGCCACATGTTACACAAAAAGCGAAACACTTCATCGTGAATCAAGCAACCAAGCCAGCGGCCTCACCAGCAGAAATGTGGAGTCGGACTGACATCCGGTCTCTCGTGTTTGCACCAGAGTATCCCAAATGGTCGGCCCTGTCTCCCAGCATATCCAACTTGATATTATATATAGAAGACGGTGGTGCCGATGCAGGTGATGGGAAAGAGGCGGTGATTTTGGCGTTGTGGTGGTTGTGGCTATTTGTGATGTAGTGTGATGTGCGTGATCTGTGGCGTGGGGGGACGGCGAGGAGAGAGAGGAAGGGGCTGGGTTGGGAGGAGGGAGCGTTGGGGGGGGGGAGGCTGGGGGGCTTAGTTTCAATGCGTGAAGAATGACCGGATTGGAGCCTAGATAGGTATCTTTCTTCAGAGTTTGGCTTCTTGTAACTTTGTAAAGAAAAAGGAGAAAAGGAAAAAAGGAGAAATGAAAAAAGTGAAGTCAACTTTGACATCTATCTGAAAGTCTTGAGGATTTCCGCACCGCTAGTCTGGTCAACAAGCCGCCTTAACAACACCCCCATCCAGTAACAGCCCAACTGAGGTGCCCGAAACTAGGATATCGACAATTATGCCACCGACATTTGAACCCCCCCAGCCTGCTGCACCCACCAGTTCTGGAAGCGCTCCCGGCGCACTTCCCGGTACCGGGTACCGACTACAACGAAGGCTGATGGCAGCGAGGTTTTTGGTTGCGCTTTTTGTAATATGAAGACGTTTATGTAGCAAGAACTACGGATTACGACGCGGAAGATATGAGATGCGGGCTGGGGGCCGCGAGTTCATAAGCAAACCCGTCAAGACTGGCCGATTAGTCCCTTCAAGGTCCTGGCAGAAACCACACGCTTGTTCTTCATGGAAACGGATCCGTGGTAGCCGCCTCTTTCTCCATAGCCAACCCTTTGGCTCTTGTTGCCTCAACTTTTGCTTTGTGACGAAACAATAGGCTTTGTTCACGGCGTGCTGTTTGCCCCTGGAAGATTTCCGAATTAGGCAATAAGTAAACATCCCCCTCCCCCCCCCCATTGTTCAGTCCATCCAATGTTTCATGAACAAGATGGCCCCGACGAAAATACATTTATGCTTATAGTACAGTTACATATAAACTCTCTTTCCTTTCTCAGCATATTACCCACACTTCCCTAGTATGTGACGCACCGCACTATCCAGGACAACAACGCCAACGACGCCAGCATGGACTTCTTCCCCCCCACCAACCAAAGACCACAACGGTCTACCACCACCGCTACCATGCCCACTCGCACCCCGGCCCAAGCCCGCGTAACCGACTACGACCCAGCCTACCACACGTTCCGCTTCGAGATGCTCGCGGTGCTCTCCCGCATCCACAAAGCCTCATCCAACCTCTGCGAGCTCTGCGAAAGCACCCTCATGCAGCAGGTCCACCACACCTACACGGCCCTCCTCACCACCATCAACCCGCCCCCACCTCCCCCAGACGCCCCCGGCTCCCGCGTCCGCCGCGCCCTCTTCAACCCCAACACCAGCTTCCCCGAACTGCGCACCACCGCCAACCCCCACCCCACCATGATCGAAGACGCGCTGGACACGCTCCTCTTCCATGACCCCTCGGCGAGCGAAACCATCCTCGACCGGCTCTTCGAGCCGCTCTACCAACCACACCACGACACGCCCAACCTCCTCCAAACCCAAATCTGGTACTGCTTCGCGGGGGAGTACACGCTCGTCGACGCGGTGCAGGGGCGCAGCATCGCCGACTTCGCGCGCATGCACCTGCAGCTGCTGACGAACCTGACGGGCGGGCGGGCGCGGGACGGCGGGCGGGTGTACCTGTGCGCCGCGGCGACGGACCCGGCCAGCCGGTACAAGTGCTTTGGGGGACGCGTGCACGAGGGGTATCCGTTTGCGGGGGACGTGGAGAGGCAGACGGCGTGCGCGATGGAGGCGGTGGAGAGGAAGATGGATGGGGCGGTGTGGGCGCTGGTGCGCGAGGGGTTGTATGAGAGGAGATGGCCGGAGGGGTTGGACGACGAGAGGGATTGGTTGGTGGTGCTGCGGGCGGTGGAGCAGGCGGAGTGGTTCAAGGAGAAGATCCGGCGGTTGGGGGAGTTGATGCGGTATAGGGACGTGAAGCACAGGTATGAGAAGGCGGCGGAGGAGTGGAGGGCTGGGCGTGAGGCGCGGCGCGCGGCGGTGCTGGCTGGGAGGGAGGGTGAGGTGGATGGGATTGTGGGGACGCTGAATATGCTGGATGGGATGAAAAAGCGGCTTTTGCAGCAGGAGTGGCACGTGGCGGATCCTGTTCATGAGTATGGTGATGAGTAGGGCCGATGTTGTGGTGTGTGATACAGTAGGGGGTTGTCTGAAAGATAGTTTGCCCTGGTATTTTGGGGATGACTGGTTGACTCTGTGTTGAACCCTTGGATGAGTATCTCCCACAAAAGTTAGATGATACCTAAGACAATGGAACTGGTTGACGAAAAGAAACACAAGGAACGAGTGTGTGGACAACCTTTATGATACCCCTTATTTGACCTCGATACACTTGTTGCACAAAGGATCAGTCAAGCATGATATATAACATATTGAAAATTCAGCGACTCGGACTCATAGAAATCTATCAAATCTTGACAAAGGAAATCCATCCATCATGCTCCTCAAAATTGTCTCCAACCACCTTTTAGCACCTAGTCCTGCAGTCTGTTCCACCCAGCCCTAAATAAAGCCGAGCTGAACGATCGGTAGTTATTAGCAATTTTTCTCCTTGTTCGAAATAGGTTGCTGTAATGTGAGGAAAGTGTTGATGACATACCTGGATGTCACAATATTATTGCTTTTCGTTTGTCACTAAACCAAGATAGGGGACCAGTGAAAAACGAAACTGAATGGCGGCTTCTTTTTCTCATGTGGCACCGCGGAAAGCTGCACGGCTACTCGGCGGCCCTGAGACGTGGCCGTGTCCTGTAGGACGAGTTTTCATCCGAGGGTGGGTATCTCGACTCTTTTCTGCGAGGGCTTTCAAGGTTCAGCAGCACGAGAGCCCGCCGAGCGAGGTTGCGCCATGGCACGCCGCAGGCACTCGAAGACGGCAGATTGGCCGTTCTGCTTGGCCAGACTGAGCAGCTGGTTCAACACGCCGAGCTGCCGGCATTGCCGCACTATTTCCTCCGCAATGAGCATGTCGGCAGAATCATAACGGCGCTCCCACGAGCTCCTTCGCCCACCCCCGCCACGGAGACGGCCTCCGGTAATGTTCTTGCTGGCCAGCTCCAAAATATGGGAGATCTCAGGGTACAAGACGGCGGGACCCGCTGTCAATAGAAAACGGACCATACCGCGATGGCGATTCAAAGCTGCGTACTTGAGCGCAGTGTGATTGGCGTGGTCTTGCTGGCCGGGCTGTGCCCCGTGTCTGAGCAGCATGGCCGCCGTCTCTAGAAAGCCCTCTCCAGCGGCGACCATCAGTGGAGTCACACCATCCTTGTCCGATTTATCAACATTGCTGTGCGGAAGCCTAAGACGAGTCGCGCATTCAAAGAGCGCACCAATGGTCCGCAATGCGTTCTCATCCGTGTGAAGGCCATTTCCCATTTGAGTCGGAATGCCGTAACCAGGCATGTCGATGCAGCCCGATTGTCCTTGGCCGGAAACGGCGAAGAAAAGGATGGACTGGTCGTTTTCCGTTTTGGCCTCGAAGTTAGCACAATAGCCTATGAGCAGCTTGACCATGTCGACATTCTTTTGATAGGCCGCGCAGTGAAGAGGGGTGACGCCGCCATGGGCCGCAAAATTTGGGTCCGCCCCATCCAGTAACAGGGCCCCAGCGCGGTTGACATCGCCGCCGACAACGGCGCTATACAGTAGCATGTCCCTCGACGGCGCTTCGGGAATTCCGATGGTTGTTTGACCCTGGTTTGCATTATTGAACTGGGTAGTGCCAATCACCCCGTAGTCCAGGCCCGGGCTGCAGTGGTTCTGGAAGGCCAAGGCATTGGGGCTGGGATTAAGCGAGTGCATAGCCTGCTGTAGCGGCTGCGGCGGCTGTGGATGAGGGACCCAGGGGTTCCCATATCCGGGGGCGTGATACGCATGAGACGGAGGCTCGGTAGGCTCTCCCCATGATCGGCGGGCGAATCCGGAACTGGCATTGGTCTGCGCGAAGGCGTGCAATTCATATGGTTGTTGATGCCCAGATAACGTGTTCCGAAGGTCAGCAGTCATGTTGGTTTGGCTCGGTTGTTCAGTGCCCGGGTAGAAATCAGCACTGAGCCCGGAGAACGACTCAGGGGATGCCTCCCAGGGGGCGGTGCCACTCTGGGAGCTGCCGTCTCCATCGAAAGAATGAGATCTGGGGGTGTTACCCATCAATGCCTGTTCTTCCCTGCTTGATCTTTGGTGACGGGAATGGGTTAGGACCGCTGGCGTTAGGATGTACTTTGACTTATCATCGGGCTCTGGCGTTCCGTATGTGATGCCGGGAGGAGTTGCCGCTGTTGAGCTCGCGAGTCAGCTCATTCTGTTAGAGGGAACAAGCGAGGAACCTAGTTGACGGAACATACCTCGCACGTCGGGTGAAAAATCGGGATTTTTCTTGTACCGGCCTAGGAATCGGCGGACGTTCCCCCGTCTGACAAGCTTGCCGTAGTGCTTGAAGACCGTAGCCTTATTGCGTCTCTTGACAATTCCAAGAATCGCCATTGATTCTTCTCTCTTGACATTTTTGTGGTCCAGGTCCCATTTTTTGAATTGTCTCTTATACGCCTTCTCGCTTCATAAACGGTCAGCCCAAGACACCAAAATATAAAGTGCCTAGTAGCGGGGAGAACACCTACTTTGCCGTAAAGCCATAGTCCTTGGCCATTATCTCCCTGACTTCCGGTAGTTCCTTGCCATCTTCCGACCACAGCTTTGTGATCGTCTTTCGGTGGCGGGCCCAAGCAAGTTTGGCCTTACCCGCACTCGACATGATGCTCAGAGATACAGCGCGCACCTTTGGAGGGGTTGATATGAGTAGCACGAGAGGCGAGTAGTGCGAGAAAGACGCGAAAGGGTGTCTGAAGGTAAGGGCAGGCTACAGACAACTCTAGGGATGAGTGCTTGAGTGCTTGAGTGTTTTATGGAGCGGGCCCGGGAGTGGTTTATGATTCTTATAGTCACCATGGGGAAGCCGGCGAGCCAATGTATCTGGTACATAAACATGACGGCTACCGCTATCCGAGCCCTCTTCTGCCTGATATCTCGCCTTGAAGGAGGTGAGAGTTGAAAGCCATGGAAAGCCATGAAACTTGCAGCCACCGTGGCAAGGCAGTGCCACGCGATACCCAATCGGGGGGGAACACACAAACCAACTACACAAACCAACTTCTCAAGGGGCGAGGCTATTTGGAGCCTGTGTGACTCGGGTGCCGAACCGAGACCGGGAAATCAACCAGGCCAACAGGTGGAGAGGCTCTACTCCAGCCGTTCGAGTAGCCTTGTGCCAAACCCCCTGTCATCGTCCGCTCACCGCTAGATTTTGGGGTTCTAAGGGCCGGTGCAAGTCGAGGTGTTACAACGATTGGGGGCTGTCGGGGAGGGGTTCCGCGGCTGTGAAGGGGGGTCGCCGCTTGACAGGACTGGTCGCTCTCGCGACTGTCGACGCCCGACCATACAAGAGGGGCAGGACAACGGAAACCGGTTGACGTGCTGCGCCTGGTCGCATGGCACATGCCGAAGCATTCGGCCCTAGCCGACGGATCCCATCGCCGGCTATCTCTGCATCATCTGAGATTGAAAAATGACATGCGGCTCCAGGGCAGGGCTCCCCGCCCTTTGAATCGAACAAATGACCCGACAAGCTGGGACATAGGGAGCCGGGAAGACCCTGCTCGACAAGGGCACCGTCTGCAGGTCACATCTTCTGCGACTGGTTTCAATTCTTAACCCAAGTCGTGAACCGTGAGGGGCCTCATCCGGTTGGTCGGCCACACTCACTCTAAGAAAGCTGATAGAACCGGTCACACAGGGCGGGCGGATTGACATGACGGTTCACCCCGCATATTCCTAAAACTGTGGTTTGTTTTTTCTTGTTGGCCTGTTGCTGTATTTGGATTGTTGCCTAGGGGCTTTTGTTCAAGACAAAAGTCCCTGTCGAAGCTACGGGTTGCAATTGGTAGTCGGTCGTGACAGGAAAAACAAGGAAAACAAGAACACCAGAGCGCTAGTACCGGTGAAGCCTGAGATGCAGGGATTTGGGCCTGTGTCGGTCAGTGCGGCTCTTCAAGAGTAGCGTGTCGATGAAGTGGCCGATGAGGTGGTTGAGAAGGCTGGCGGAAAACGCGCAAAATGAGGATAAAAAAAGTTGATGGAGTGGCCGAGAAAAACGGCCGCTTGAATCGGGGCGAACTGTTGTCAGTGACGGCTGACGAGGTCCTTCCGAGGTCCTCAGACCGCAGCCTGGGACTCGGATTCTCGGAAGAGGATGTGGAATAGGTAAGACACGGAAAGAAGGGATGGGGGGTGGTGAATCTCTGGTTCGATTTACACAGTAGAGGGTGCGTCTGCGTTCGACTAAGGTCGCCCTAAGAGAAGGCGCCGTTGCAATGACGCACAGGGATGGCCCCATGGAAGATGGCTCGAACCTCAGGCATGCGGCCAGGGCTCCCACCCAACGGCTTGCATTCCCCATTCTGTCTGGTCAACACGGCCCCACTTCCCGTCCAGATTTTCGTTGCACTTCATTTTCCTCACATCTGCACCGTCAATGTGCTGCTGAGGTAATGCTACGTACTGTAGTTATGCACATGCGAACAATTGCAGGTGCAGCCATCCATACTAGGAGGAATTCTTGGTTGGCAAGCTTCCCAGCTAAACCCAGGGACACAGCACGCGTTGTACTACACCACACACGCCAAAACCGCGGCCCACCTTCCGCGTTCCACTCGGGTGCTTGCCTCGAACCTGCACACCTGACACCCTCGGAAATCCCAATCTCGAAGCCAAACCAACAACCGGGAAACAACCACAACCACCGCATACAAACCACCCAGCATGTCGCAGAAGATCTCGGCCAAGAACCTACAGTACAACACGACGCTGCCGCCCTTCCTCGCGCGCCTGCGCGGGGAAAACCCGTCTGGGGCCGACCGCGACGGTCCCGATCCGATCCTCGCGGGCAGACGCCGGGCCGTCAAACCGCGATCCGGCAGCGCCGAGGCCGAGGACGCGCCGCTGGTGGTCGACGACCAGGGCAATGCCGTCGACGTCACGGTGGGTGCCGATGGCAGCGTCAAGGAGAAGGAGTCGGCAGAGAAGCCCCAAGACGCCAGCCCTGGCGAAGGTACACTAGCTACGGAGGCGAGCGCGAAGGTGGGGGAGAAGCTGGCGGATATTGGCGGCCAGCGCAAAAAGAGGAAGATTGGCAAAATAATTGGCGCCGAGACTGAGGAGGATGATCCAGAGGACAAGCACGGCAAGAGCGACAAGAGCAGTCGGCCAAAGGCAGGCAACGCCCTTGCGGCGGAAAAGGAGGACCCCACCGTTGTAGCAAAGCCAAAGCCGAAGAAGAAGGCCAAGAAGGTCAAGCTCAGTTTTGGCGACGACGAGGGCTGAGAACACGTCGACGCAATTTACTTCACACCACGCCCACTCTTCAGGACACCAAGGAGCTCGACATTGGTGACCCCAAGCCGCCCACACAACACCTAATCATGATGGTGCCAGTGTGGACGCATTACAACAACTACCCTCCGGGCCCGGGTCCTCATGCGGGGGTTCGCGGATTGGACTTTTACCAGGAACGCTTCCATGGCTCCGCCTCGGTGCCAAAAAGGAAGCTCACAGTGGCGAATATGCTCAGTGAGTTGCGTGCCCATGCCGATAAGACGGGCCGGGGACGTCCCTCAAAATAGCACACGGACTTTGAGTGCTTCGAAAATGTAAGCGTAATTATGCTTGCCGTTCACCAGGGGGGTTTCGGATTGGGCGAGGTGATGCCTGGATTCTTCCCGAGCAAATAGAGCCGAGCCGAGGTAGCACATCGGGGAAGCGCACAGCATCCACTCAAATCTGCCATGCCCTGACTTTGGTCCGAAAATTGCACCAACGGCGAGACATAGAAGAAAAATCCTCTATACAACCTCATCTGCTGTCCGGATATTCTACAATCCCAGTTCCACTTCAGCCCCCTAATCTCGATGCCGCTTCTGTCCAGTACACCACTGTTTACCAGTACTCGGGCTTGACGTAGTTGGCGAAGGTCTTGGGCTCCTCGAGGCCGTAGGGGTTGTGGTAGTGGTGATGATCGTCCTCGGGGCCAACGTACTCCATCTTGTAGACGCTGCCGCACTCGGGGCACCGCTCGACGGGGCGCTCGCGGGTCATCTGTAGGGTGCGGTATACTGTTAGCGGCGCCTTCTTCTCGAGGAGGGAGAGAGGCTATAATGGGGCCGGATGCACTGACCGTCAGCCAGATGACGTTATGGGAGTCGGCCGGGACACCGGTGCAACCGGCGTACTGCTCCTCGCCAGCGGAGCGGACCATGACGGGGTTCTGGAGTGTGCCTGCCCCGCTCGTTAGCCAACCCCGCACCCACATCCCGAAATGGCGGTTTGCTTACCGAGGCGCGAGGCGTCCAGCGGGCGCATGTCGAAGATGTCGACGCCCTCCATCTTTCCGAGGATTTCGAGACGCTCGAGACCGGTGGCCTGCTCGATGTCGGTGGGGACGGTGCCGACGCGGGCGCCGGGGCCGATAAGGTCCTCATCCGACTTGATCTCTGCGACAGTCGTCAGCCGTCTGCCCGTAGAATCCAACCATGACTTCCACCGCGATCATCCTGCCATCCCACCCCCTCGTATCCCATCACATCCCACCCCGACGCCAATCGACTGACGTCAGAAGCTCCCTCGACCCATGACGCAACATGTACCCCGAACAAGAGATATCCTTACCGCTGAGAGTCTTGATCTTGGGCTGGTCGGGAACGGCGTTGCCTACGTATCCAAGACGGTCAGTCCATCCATCGGTATATCGCGGGGCTCAATTGGGTGGCGTGGGGGAGCTCGGGGCGACACAGGCCTGCGACATTTTGGAGCTTCCCCCCCTGCCCGCTTGGCCCGGGTTTGTTTTTTCGGCAGCACACTTACGGCGTACGGCGGTGGTGGCGATGCTGCGACGGAGGGCCGGGGCGGACACGGCGGCGCGGCGCGCGACGGCCACGGCAGAGCGCTGCAGGAACATGGTGTCGGTGGTGTGGCGGGTCAATTGGTCGGGGTGGTTTGGGGAAGGGGTTGAGGCCGGTTCGACGGGTTTTGAGAAATGGTCTGACTTGCTTGGCTTGGCCCAACCCGAAGCACAGAGCAGCCGAGCTGCAGGTGCTTGCTGTTTTGAGCTAGATCGCATGTGACAAGGCACGTGATATCCACTTTTAACAACAAGATCGATGAGAACATATGGTTTTGTTTATTTGTTCTTTATAATAATTCGTATTCTTCGTCACAGTTTCTAAAAGATCGAGATTGTTGTTTCCTATCACCACAAGTTCTTAGCCCAAAATGCAAAAGCTCACCGGCTAGCCCCCTTCGCCGGTCGAAGGGTGGTAGCCGGCTACGAAACCCCTAGGGGTTTACTTCGTGCCCAGTTGCAGCCCGGTGATGCCCCGTCGGGCCAATGCAGGCTGCGTGTTTTGTTCTGCGGTGGAGGACTCTATCGGCGGCCCGATACCTCCCAGAGGAACCCACGGTAGCATCATGATTCGAACCAAGAGCCTCCCCTTACGGCCGGGATATTGAGGATGGTGAACTAGCTGGCCCGTGGGCCGTGGGCCGAGGGCCACCGCCTAACCGCTGAGCTACCCAGTTAGGTGGTGGTCCTCCGTTGAAAGCACGCTGCGAAAACCACTCTTATATTGTACAGGCGGTAGGTCGCACACCATTACTCTATGATCGAGGAACAACACACGAAACATCCACCCATTCCCCTTCCGCATCGGGATAACATACCACCCCGCCGCCCCTCACCGGGCCCTCGCCCAAAACTACAATTTCCCCAACCCAATCCCCTGTACCAGCCCATCCTGATACTCGGTCGCCACATGCACACCCTGCGGACTCCAAATCTTACTCTCCACCACCCCCCTCCCCGCCGCCGCGCGCGGAAACCACATCTCCTGCACCCACCACTGATCCTCCCCCTCCCGCATGACCACCTCCTCCCCATTCACATGCACCACAAAACTATAACTCAAACTTTGCGCCCTCCCAAACGGATGCCCGAACCCCACATGATTCCCCACCACCAACAACCCATTCCGATCCGCCACATACGCATGCGCCGCAATTGGTCACTCGGCTCCCGCTCATCAGACGACCTCCGCGACCGATACGACCCCAACTGCCTCCGCTCATGCAACGACCGACCCTCATTCGCGCCCCCATCTCCACCTTGAGCATCTCCGCCACAGGGAACCGCCCCTCCTGCTACGTCCCGGCCACCTCCAAAATCGCGGCAATATCGACCGACGGGGAGGGTAACAGGCCGGCGGCAGGAGCGAGTTCGAAATATCCTCCAAAGCGCGCCTGTGGCAGCGGCTCCTACCTGCAGACCCCCTAGTTGTGCCGGGCGGAGAGCTCGAACTAGCACACGCTGGTGATGCCCGGCTGGGAGACCGCGGAGGGCTGGCGTCCTGCGCCGCCCGAGAATGGATCGCCAGATCGAGCTCGAGATGGGCTAGGAGGGCCCGGTGCGCGCTCATGTTGAACATGCTGCAGGAGCCCGACGAGCTGAACGGGGTCACGATGTAAAGGAAGGACGCTTGC